CCATCCAACCCGCCCATACCTCTACCACACCCGCCTATTGAAATCCTCAACGTGTGCAGATCAGGCTGGCCTGTACGAGGCTGATCTGTCTATGGCTGGCTGATGTGGCATCTGGTGTGCAAATATTACGCTGCAAACATGGCGGATGATGATGAAACCGTCAGCTGCTCCGGGTGCGAGCTGTCTCTAGCCTCTGAGCGGGCCGCTGACGCAACTAGGCTAAGAAGCTGGTGTGCCCGCCAGGGTGAAGACAGTCTTTTCTGTTTAAGACTTGGCTGAGAGGCCGCGGGGAAGCAATGGCACGTCTGCTCAAAAAATAAGTGTCGAAGCTCCTCCACCACACCCACCCAATACTCCACCACATCCACCCGTCGATATCCTATCGGGTCTCCAAATCGACCGCGCAACCCCGACAGCCATCCGAGGGAAAGCTGCGAGTCCGACCTGCAAGAGGTGCAGGCCGCATCCCACCAGCCCTGCCCTCTCCCAATGGCCTGCACGCGAAGACCGGGCCTCGCTGGCGTGCGCACTGCAGGATCGCACGCAATCTGGGTGGCGAGGATTTGCCACTTCTGGAACGCCCGCGCCCAGTGCAAGTGAAGAATTGCAGCGCTGACGAGCTGCGCATTCAATTGGGCACTACCTCTGGGCCTGTCTAAGCAGCGTACTGCTGCTTGGTACTTCGGCGCTCTAAGTGAGCGCAGCCCTTCATGGAGGAGCGCGAGAAGGAGAAGGTCAGATGGGGCAGATCAACAAATATTACGACGCTGATGTTACGCAGGCGACGGCTGGGAATGCTAACTGCTTGGCGAACAGCCTGCACGGGAGCGGTGACGCGTGGCGCCTCTGCCGGCCTTCGCTCCCCTCCATGCCTTGAGAATCGCTCCTTCCTCCCCCCTCCCATTGGCTTGCGCGCGACAGCCAGGCCTCGCTGGCGCGTGCACTGCTGGATCGCACGCAGTGTGGGTAGCAGAGACATGCGACTTCTGGAGCGCCTGCGCCCAGTGCACGTGAAACACGTGTCGCGCGGACGAGCTGCATGCTGCCCCAGACGTTACCTCTGGGCCTGTGTAAGTAACGTATTGCTGCACAGCACTTTGGCGCTCTAAGTGCGCGCAGCCCTTCACGGAGGAGCACGAGGAGACGAAGATGAGATGAGGGGGAGATAGGGTAATGTTACGAGACTAGTGCTCCGGAGGCGGAAATTGGGAATGCGAGCTGCTGGGAGATCAGCCCGCGCGGGGGCGATGACGCGGGGCGCCTCTGCTGGCCTTCGGTCCCCTCGAAGGCGCCGACCCCCCCCATTGATCGAGTCGGAGCAGCCGACGTGAGCCTTGCCCAGGGCCAACCACATGCCTGCGACCCGAAGGCGTCCGCGACGGTCTCGCCCGCGGAGGTCTCGCTAACGAGCCGCCCGCCCGGCAGGGCCGCGTCGGCGCGGGTGAGCCTGGGGCCCAGCCTGCCCGCGCCCAGCTGGCCCGCCAGCCAATCTCGCAAGCCGGCGAGCGGCGCGCCGGGCGCCGCCGGGACCCGGCAGCGCTCCACCTCGCCCAGGGTCAGGAAGCGCACCGCGCCGCCGTCGAGCGACGCCTGCAGGAGCAGCGTTGCACCGACTAGCAGGCTCGCGGTGTAAGTCAGCGCTCCGTCAAGCGCTGGCACGGCGCACTGGCCCAACCCATCGTCGCCGCAGGCCACGGCCGTGCCGTCGCTCCTGAGCAGGAGCGTGTGGCGGTTTCCCGCGGCGACCTGCGTATTGCTCTGGCCGCCGTCCAGCGCTGGCACGGCGCACTGGCCGTCCTCTCCATCGTCGCCGCAGGCCACGGCCGTGCCGTCGCTCCTGAGCAGGAGCGTGTGGCAGGCTCCCGCGGCGACCACCCGTTGGCACGGTGGGGAGCCCGAGGGCCCGCCGGGCGGTGTGTGTTTGGGCCAGGGAGCGCTCGGGGCTCCCGGGAGGGCCACGGCTTGAGCCAAAATGGGTACGGACTCCTGCTCCTCCTCCTCCCTCCTCCTCCTCCTCCTCCTCCTCCTCCTCCTCCCCTCCTCCTCCCTCGTCCTCGCCTCCTCCTCCTCCTCCGCCTCCTCCTCTCCTCCTCCTCCTCCTCTCTCCTCCTCCTCCTCCTCCTCCTCCTCCTCCTCGATCCCCCTCCGCGCGTGGCCGCAGCAGTCCGGCGTGCTGGGGCGGAGCCGTGGCCCTGCCTCTGCAACGGCGCGCCAGGTGGCACGCAGCCCCTGCACAGCAGCAGTAGGCGGCGGCACGCGCGGGCGCCTTCAGCCAGGCGAAGGGGCCGCCCACCGGCACCAAGCTGCAGGGCAACGATAGGGGGGCTGGCATAGTTAAGCGGGATGCATCGACCTGGAATCGGCGATGCATCGCCGATCGATCGGCGATAGGCCCCCGGTGGCGAATCCGCAGCTTCCAGTGCAGGCTAGGGTTTTCAGGCTCCGAGCAGCGATCAATGGGCGATTGGGGGTCGATGCGTGCCCCACCTGTGACCATCCC